GCTGCCACGACTTTCTGTCTGCTAGCTCCCTTTGATGAAAAGGTTTGTGCCCTCACATCTGGCTAGGTCAATGTTTGAATGAATACCAGGTCCCACCTTTTGTCCTGACAACAGATGTATAAACATTTCTCAGATGAATGGGAGGTGAGTGAAAGGCTATAATTCTTCAAAACGCTTCAGGAAGAATTTGTAGCTATGCTTCTGAATTTGATTTATATTGCTTTTTTTGTTTTTCTATGTCTGCAATGCATACCATTGCTGAGACCATATTTTAAATTCAGCTCAAGTATTCCAAATAAAAGCCTTGATAGTTTGGATGCAATATATGATTTCCAAGTTCCTTTGGTGAAACTGCCAAAAATTTAACATATACAGTATAATTATATGTTAGAATTATAATATCAAATTATATTATCTAAGGGGCTGCGATAAAGAAGAAGGGGGTCAACCTATTTTCCAAAACGTCTGAAGGTAGGACAAGAAGCAATGGATGGAAACTAATCAAGGAAAGAAGCAACCTAGAATTAAGGAGAAATTTCCTGATAGTTGGAACGACTTGCCTTCAAAAGTTTTAGGTGCTCCAAAACTGGAGGTTTTTAAGAAGAGACTAGACAACCATTTATCTAGAGTGGTATAGGATTTTCTGCCTGAGTAGGAGGTTGGATTAGAACAGTGGTTCTCAACCTGTAGGTCGGGACCCCATTTGGGGTCGAACAACCATTTCATGGGGGTCGCCAAACAACGCAGTCCGCCATTTTTTCCCCTTTTCCTTAGCTGTGCTACTCCCTTTTATTCTATTGCCTTTTGAAAGCCAATAGAATAGACTCTCTTGAATAGAGTCTAATTCTATTGGCTTTCAAAAGCCAATAGGAATTGTCCAGGCTGTCTCTGCCCTGCTGAGCCCGCCAAAAGTCCCATTCTGCAAACGGTGTTGCACAAGTTGAATAGTCCTCGACTTACGACCGGTTGAGTAGTCCTCGACTTATGACTGGTTGGGGGTCGCAGCATTAAAAAGGTTGAGAACCACTGGACTAGAAGATCTCCGAGGTTCCTTCCAATTCTGTTATTCTATTATATTACAGGCCCGTCGTAAACAATACTGGTAGTCCTCAACTTACAACCATTTATTTATCCACTGTTCATGTTACAATAAAAAGTATAACTTATGACTGGTCCTAAGTTGCAGCATCCCCATGTCATCATTCCCAGCTGGCTTCTGACAGGCAAAGTCAAGGGGGAGTAGCTGGATTGGCTTAATGACCACATCATTCATTTAACAACCACAGTGATTCACTCAATAATAACAAAACAGATCATATAATTGGGCACAACTCACTTAACTGCCTTGCTTAGCAAGGGGAATCCTTATCCCAATTGTGGTCATAAGTCAAGGATTACTTGTATCCGCTATATCAGGGGTCCCCAACCCCTGGTCCGTGAACCAGTACTGGGCTGCGGCATGCCAGCAACTGGTCCGCACAAACAAGCAAAGCCCCATCCATGGGGTGCAGGCAGCACACAAACCCACGCCCTCTCCGGTCCACGGAAAAACCTCTCTCCACATAACTGGTCCCTGATGCCCAAAAGGTTGGAAACCTCTGCACTATATCATGCACACTCACGCTTTGGTATTTTTTTTCCTCTCCTATACCATCTCTATCCAGAGCTATAGGAAGATGAGGGGACAAAATCTCCTAGCATCCAGATCTAAGACAATGAAGACTTTTCAAGCATAGAGAGAAGAAAGTGGAATTAGGATCAAGCAATGACCTTATTATCGTGAACCATTTCATGCAGTATGAACAATAAATGACTGTCCGGAAAAAACACGGATATGAACTTGTTCTGCGTGACTAGTTTAACTTCTGCACATTGTGCTAAGGCTGTATCATGGTTTGTTCACTTCTAACCTGTAGGATGTGAAAAGTACCTACATTTCACTCCCCGATTGCTTCATTCTAAAACTTCCATTAAGCAGAAGTTTCTACACAGTCGGTTGGATTTGCTGGAGACTTTAGCACAAGGCAACTGATTTTGTAAAATGCTCTTTTAAAGCCGAGGGGCTGTATTGCTTCTGGGAGCAGCTTTTAAGAGGCCCTTTCCTTAGAGATCAAAGAGAAGCAATCTTCTGAAATGTTTTAAAACCCTAATGGCTTACCAGGTCACGCGAGTCATTGTGATTTGAAATCATGGTTTAGCATGTGTAGCTGTGATTTATTCATCAAGCCACGATAAGCAACTCCCACACTTTGGCAGTATTTGAACGACAAAGACCAGGCTGGTAGATAATGGCAGCAGCAGCAATTTAAATTAGCACACGGTTCATTCTCAGGATGAATAATGATGGTAGGTTTGGGGCAGAATGGAGAAAAATAGATAAAATCAGGAGTAATCGGTTTTCATGCAATTATAAAACAAATGGATCCCAAATTAGAAAAAGGAACAGAGAGGCGAAAAACACTGTAATAGCGCATATTCTTCTGGGCATCCTAACAGTATACTATCGGGAGGCTTGGACCGTCTTCCCCACATTTTGCAAAACACCTCCTTTTTAGTCCTTTCCTTTCTCTGCTCCCTATTGAGATCCTGTTAAGTTAGAACAATTAATCAATGGAACAACCTGCCTCCAGAAGCGGTAAATGCTCCAACACTGGAAGTTTTTAAAAAGAGATGGACAGCCATTTGTCTGAAATGGTATAGTGTTTCCTACCTGAGCAGGGGTTTGGACTAGATGATCTCCAAGGTCCCTTCCAACATTATTATTATTATTATTATTATTATTATTATTGATCATCGCACCATCAGCCAGATGTTCGGACTGGATTTGGCATTTTGTCTACCTATCGAGTCCTTACCCAGGACCTGGGATAGGCAGATGTGGATGTTTGATGGTATTACAGATATCGTCGCAGGATGGAAGCAGTTCCTAATAAGGCCGCCTTTTGCAATTGACTAATAGCGAATTTGTCAATGCCAATGGTGTTCAAGTGGTGCTCCAGTTGTTTTGGGATTGCACCCAAGGAGCCTATTACTATTGGTACTACCCTTGCTTGCTTTTGCCACAGTCTTTCTATTTCTATTTGTAGGTCTTTGTATTTTGTTATCTTCTCCAGTTCTTTCTCTTCTATTCTGCTGTCTCCAGGCACTGCCACGTCCACTATCCAGACTTTTTTGTCTTTCTTATTGACAATTGTTAAGTCTGGGGTATTATGTTGCAGGTGCTTGTCTGTTTGAATTCTGAATCCCAGAGCAGTTTAATTTTATCATTTTCTCTGACTTTCTCTATTTTATGATCCCACCAGTTTTTGCTTACAGGCAAATGATATTTTTGCAGATCTTCCAATGCACCATTGTTGCTACTTTGTCATGCCGCTGCTTGTAGTCAGTCTGTGCAATCTTCTTGCAACAGCTTACCAAGTGGTCCACTGTTTCTTCAGCTTCTTTGCATAGGCGGCACTTACTGTCTGTTGCTGTCTTCTCAATTTTGACTTTATATGCATTTGTCCTTAAGGCTTGGTCTTGTGCAGCCAGAATTAGTCCCTCGGTCTCTTTCTTCAATTTTCCTGCTCTTAGCCATTGCCAGGTCTTGTTATTATCTGCTTTCCCAGCTATTTTTTTAATGTATTGGCCATGTAGTGCTTTGTCTTCCCATGCCTCTATTCTGTTCTTCATTTGGTCTTTCTTGTAGGCCAGTTTGGTCTCTCCAGTAGTCAGTAAGCCTTCCTGATATACTAATTTCAGTGCATCTTCATCATTGTTCTTCAGATATTCTTCCAAAGCCATTTTTTCTTCTTCAACCATCTGATGTACTTGTAGCATTCCACGCCCACCTATTTGCCTTGGTAGATAAAGTCTATCAATGTCACTGCGTGGATGAAGGGCATGATTCATTGTCATTATTTTTCTGGTCTGCCTATCCATTGCTTTTAGTTCTGCTTGAGTCCAGTCCACTATTCCAGCTGTGTACCTAATGACTGGGATTGCCCAGGTGTTGATTGCCTTTATGGTATTTCCTCCATTGAGTTTGGACTTTAAGATCTTCTTCACTCTCTTGATGTATTCACCTCTAATCTTTTTCTTGACTTCAGTGTGCTTGATGTTGTCAGCTTGAAGGATACCCAAGTATTTGTAGTAATCTTCCTCATCCAGACTCTTAATGTTATTTTCGTGGGGCATCTTGATTCCTTCAGTTTTCACTACTTTTCCTTGTTTGATAGTAAGTGTGGCACATTTGTCCAAGCCAAACTCCATAGCAATATCTTGGCTATATATACAGACAGTGTTGAGCAGCAATTCTATTTCAGATGATGTTTTTCCATACAGCTTCAGATCATCCATGTAAAGGAGATGGGATAGTCTGGTAGATGTTTTTGATGTTTGATAGCCATGTCCTGAGTTATTCAGTATTATTGACAGAGGAAACAGCGCAATAACAAATAGTAATGGTGACAATGAATCTCCTTGAAATATTCCTCTCTTGATATTAACTTCCCCCAGTCTCTCACCATTGATCTGCAACTGTGTCTTCCATTGTGCCATCGATCTTTGCACAAATTTTGTGATGTTTCTACTGACTCCTGTTATTTCTAGGCACTTGATTATCCAGTCATGTGGCAGAGAGTCAAATGCCTTTTTGTAGTCAATCCATGCCACATTCAGGTTGGTCTTCCTTTTCTTGCAGGAAAATATTATTATTATTATTATTTCGCTACAGGCGCGGGAGAAATAATATTACACACCTGGAATTCCCCTCAGCGGCCCCAAACAGATTTCCCCACCAATACCCCAACGCGCAAGCGCGCTCCTGAGAGTCCACCGGCTCGTCAGGTGCGGGCGCGCGGCTTTGGTGCTTTTTTTCCGCACCTGTTCCTGCGCCTCCGGCGCGCGCGCCTCCCGTGGCCGCTCTCCCCCCCCCCCCACTCTCTCGCTCTCTCTCTCTCTCGGGGCGAGGCGAGGCGAGGCGCGGCGAGGCGAGGCAGGGGGCGGCGCACCCCGCTTACCTTGGCGTGTCACGTGGGCGCTTTCTGGCCAAGGGGGTGGGCTTTTGCTTGTCAGAGGTGTCGGGGAGGGACGTCGAGGGAGGGGTGTGTGTGTGCGCGCGCTCCTTCCTCTTCTCCCGTAGTGTCCAAACTGGACCCGTCTCCGCTCGCTTCGCCTCTTCTCGCCTCCTGGGTTCTCCTGGCGAAGAAGGAAAACGTCTTCCGCGAGGAGACGAGAGGGGAAAAAAAGGAGGAGGAGGAGAGGAAACTTGGAAAACTTGTTCGTCAACTCCGACGGCTGTGCAGCCGCTTGTGGCCGGGGAGAGAGAGCGAGGGAGCGCACGAGCGCGCGCGAGAGAGAACATGAAAGCCAACTGAGCGACGGCCGCAGAAGGGGGTTCCGCTTGGAGGCGCCGGGAGGGTAAGCGTAGGGACGGCGAGGGGTGGGGGGGAAGGAGGGATGCCGCGGATCGGGGAGCGAAAGGGTGGGGAGGGAAGCCCTGGAAAGCTTTCTCGGGCTTTGTTCTCACCTGACAGTCCGCTTCTCGGCAGTCGCACTCCGTTTCTCCAGATGGACCTGTCGACAGAGTGGACTACAAGTCCTATCTTCCCCGCTGCCCTCAATGTGACAGACTAGAGGCTATTAGGGAAGCCTAATAGCAGGCAGGCACCAGGTTGGCGAGGGTGCTGGACAGCAAGAGGAGTGTCAGATGCTGACTTGAGGGGGTTGCTGAGTGTCTCCCCCCCACTCCCTTCTCCCCAGATCTTTGGTATGGATAATATTTTTCTCGTGTTTTGCGCTTGTTGGCATGGATTTGTGCAGGCGAAATTGTGCTCCTTGTGCTGGCCATTGAACTTGTGATAGAGAACTTGTAGTTTGGCCTTGAACTACTAACTTTGTATGAAGTGCAGATAAATGTGCATGTGCGAGAGGAATAAATCAAATTACATTCTGGCTCTGATTTACTCACCTTTTAATATTTAATCTAGTGATCAATTTGTTTTCTCCAAACTCTGTGCCACTGGTAAATGTCATGTGTGTGTGTGTGTGTGTGTGTGTGTGTGTACCATCTATAATTTCTCAGATGAATCTTCTCGGTCTTCAGGCTTGAAGATTCCTCTGGCTGCTGTTTCCTTATTCCTGTCATTACGTGGTTTGGCAGCTCATAGGCTGAGCTAGTCCCACTAGCGCCTGAGGCAAATGGGCTCCTGATAATGAAGAATAATATCTGTGCTTCCGAATAGGATCCATACTGGTATTTGCTAAAGGAGACTTGATAACCTCCTCAGTTAAAGATGGGGCAGAAACTATTATTGCAGTTAGGAAATTGTCCTTTGTCCTTTTAAAAACAAAAGGCAGAAAAAGAAAAAAAATGTCAAATACTGGAAGGCATAAATAATTTTGGCACAGAATATCTTGGAAGGATTTTGACTTGTCACATCAGTTGATCTTTGCTTGAATGTGTCCAGTAAAACAATCTATACACCCAAGTATCTTGTGTTTCTCCAATGCTGAAAGAAATTGGGAATGAGCAAGAATGTTTTCCCTTCTTTCTAATCCACCAGTTCAACAAAGATCTGAGTTTCTTGAAGAACTCATCTAAAATCACAATTTTCATGTCCTTCATTTCTTTTTAGTGAGCAAAACTTTATTTTTATTATCTCAACTTATATGGCCACTCATCTTAAATTCATTACATTGGGAGGCTAACACAGTTTTAAACAGCATAGAAATCCATAAGACAATAAAAACTACAATACACATATAATCTACTGCCAAGATAAAAAGCAGAAGCACCTTTAAGAAATCAAATATAATCATTCACCTGGATCTCCAGGTCCAGTTGGAAAATTAACTCTTTAAAGGCCTTGCAAAAAGCTGAAGGGGTTGGGAACAATCCAGCCTCTGCCGGTTTGGGGGATTTATTTAGCATATGGCATATCATGCATAAACTAACATATACTAACATTTCACCTAGATTAATAAAACACAATAAAACATAAATGTTAAAAAGATGGATGTTCAAATACCATTGTCTAGGCCAGGGGTAGGCAACCTTGGCTTTTTTATGACTCGTGGACTTTAACTCCCAGAACTCCTGAGCCAGCATGGCTCAGCTTGGAAACCTTTCCCTTTCCCCTCAGCATGGCTGGCTCAGGAATTCTGGGAGTTGAAGTCCACGAGTCATAAAAGAGCCAAGGTTGCCTACCCCTGGTCTAGGCCATCTAACCACTGAAACACAAAAACTAGTTGGTATAATTTATGGCTACAGTGGGCTGTGGGGACCCAGTCAGATGAATATAATAGTAGGATTTAGTGAATAGTGGATTAGCATATTGGGAAATTTACATGTTTGCTTTTCATTTTGGGGAGAAATCCCCTGCAGTCGGTATAGCAAGAGTTGGTTCTTTCCAACAACTATCTGACTCTTTACCTACTCAAATCTTCATTTTGACTGAAGAAGTTACTTGGATGAGTAACAAAACATCTCAGTTTTAATAAACTTTGGTCTGGTTGCCATGATTTAACCCTTTTAAGATATTGAAGTGCAGCATTGTTTATATTAAAAAAAAATCAGACACTGGACCAGTATATGCGTTCAGCTTACAATTGGTCACAATGGGATCTATAGTTTGATGTGGGAACCCACAGTCATACCGAGGGAGGATACTTTGCCCCATTTATACAGAGTCCTGGCAGAGGCTGTGTGATGTGCAAATCCTATTCAGGATTGTCCATTGTTGATATGGTAGTTTTCTGTGGGTCATTTATGTCTTCCTATGTTTGGGCTTTCAGTGAGGATTTTGGCTTTCCATTGGGAATTGATGTTAAAGTTGAGCAAGTGATTTTGGGGATATTCCAAGGAGATTTATTATTATTCAGTTGAATTAAGAGCATAGATACATTTTTGCCCATTGCTTTTGCATTTTTCACATTTAGATTGCATCCGCAGGACACAGTAGAGTTGCTTAGTTGAGGTTCACTCATTATACTATTTGAAACTAGTTGATGTGGCTAGTTTATGGCTCACTGGGTTGTGGGGATCCAGGCAGATGAATATAAAAGTAGGATTTATCTAACAGTGGGTTAGCATATTTGGCAAACAAATCTTTGCTTTTAATAGTTTGTATTAAAAGAGTTCATGTATATAATATGAAATACATCGAAAGAAAAAATATAGCAAATGTGGAAAAGAAAAAAGGAAGAGAGAAAGAAAAAAGAAAAAAATGAAAAAAGATATAAACAATTGGCTTTCGGTCTTTCTCTTGGCAGTTACACATATGATTCCAGAAATAAATAGTTGGTTATTAGTATGACAAATTTGAATTGTATGATTTTTCAAGATATTTATTTATCTGCTGCACATCTCATTTTGAAGTGACTTTAAAGTTAAGACATGGAACAAAATTAAGGTGGGAGAAATTAAAATTGTCACTGTTGGAGAAAATTTCTGTGATAAAATGGTGCTTTTGTTTCAGACAATACCTTTTTTGACAATTGAACCATTCAAGCAAGGGCAAACACAATCTTAATAACGGAGGACACTTAGAAATTGCAAGGATGCACAATGCCCTGATCCTGGGACCCAATGTAAAGTATTCTCTCATCTTCCACCATCACCCCCATCCTTTCGTTTAATGAATTCATGCATAGACTGAGGTTTTTGTTATTGCTGGTTTTATTAACTTAGCTTTTTCTATTTTTATTATGTTCAGTGTACTTAAAAAAACATTGTGAGTAGAAGTCATCAAAGAATAGCATTAGAAACTTTCTGAGTAGCATATTTTTAAAAGTCATTTTTACCTTATTGCTGTATTCTAAAAAGTAAAATCCACATTCAAAACCATTTAGCTATAATATTAAATGTTATTCAAATTCAGTTGTTTTGCAATTGCCATGTACAACATTTGCACAATCGGTAGATGTGAATGAGCCTTAGGTTTTCAGAAGTACTCCCTCCCATGGTGGCAATTTCATGGGGAAAATAAAAACATAGAATCATTAAGGCTGGAAGGGACCTCAGAGATCTTCTAGTCCAGTGGTTCTCTACCTTTTTAATGCTGCGACCCCCCAACCGGTTGTAAGTCGAGGACTACTCAACCAGTCGTAAGTTGAGGACTACTCAACTGGTGCAGCACCATTTGCAGAATGGGACTTTTGGTGGGCTCAGCAGGGCAGAGACAGCCTGAACAATTCCTATTGGCTTTTGAAAGCCAATAGAATTAGACTCTATTCAAGAGAGTCTATTCTATTGACTTTCAAAAGCCAACAGAATAAAAGGGAGTAGCACAGCTAAGGAAAAGGGGGAAAAAATGGCGGACTGCGTTGTTTGGCGACCCCCGTGAAATGGTCATTCGACCCCAAATGGGGTCCCGACCCACAGGTTGAGAACCACTGTTCCAGTCCACCCCCCTGCTCAAGGCATGAAGCTTATACCATCCCAGTCAAATGGATGTCCAGTCTACTTTTGAAAACCTCCATTGACCCATAACTCCAGGAGGCAATTGATTAATTGTTCTCATGTCAGAAAATTTCTTCTTTCTTCTAGGTTTGATTTCTCTTTAATCAACTTCCCCCATCCACAAGTGCTGTGGAGAATAAGTAAATCCTTTGTGACAGCCCCTCAAGCATTGGAAGACCGTTATCATGTCCCCCTAATCCTTTTGTTTAATAAGCTAGCTAGACATACGTAGCTCCTTCAACCATTCATCATATAATTTAGCCTCTAGATCCTTTGCTGGCTAATTAAATTTTGCAAGGTGAGGAAGATTGGGTGGAGTTGCTGAAACCTCAAACAGGAGCTCTTGACACTGCAAATTTTTGCTGCAGGGCTATTCTTGAATGTGGGATGTGTGTATTCTTACTTTGCACTCACCCACGTTGTACAGTTATTTGTGAATAGGCACAATTAAACAGAGTGATTACCTTCATTCTAAAACATAATATGATTTGTTCCGTTTGCATACATTTAGCTATCGTGTGTGGCTTTGTATTGTAAGACAAAGCCAAAGATGCCTTATAAACAGAGATTTCTTCATGGATGAATAATGGGAATTTAAGCTTTTATTACAGAACTAAAATAGCTGTTCAGGAA